GCTTAGTGTCATCGTTTCGAGGCAAACAAAAGCAAAGCTGCCACTTTTAACCCAGACTGTACCCCTGTGTGCATTTCTGGAGAGCACTAAATACATCCCAGGAGCTACTTTTTTTTTGTTGTTGCAGTTTTTGTTTTTGTTAATCCACCAGAGGTCGCTGTGTACACTTTGGCTGTTTCTCAATATGAGCTCTCGTTCTTTAGCGGTCTTGCGTCCTCGTGTTCTCGTGCAACGTCATCATCAGCTGCCTAAGTTCAGTTACAATACTCAAGACCGCAAGTACGGAGGACGCGTGAAACTTCCCGGATGTGATCTTGATATCGAGGACGCACCGATGCAGACTTGAGCACCGAACTCGCTCTGGAAGTCCCAGAAGTCATTGCGACTGGAGGTGGGAAGCGCAGCATTTTATTTAGATCAGTGGTTCTCAAACCATGGTATGTGTACCACTAGTGGTACGCAGGCTTCCTTCTAGTGGTACGTGGAGGAATCGCTGAATAATTTAAGTAAAAAAAAATGAACACTTTTAATGCATACGATAACACAGATGTGATCAGTTAATTGATTTTAATAGGCTAAACCTTTTATTTCATTTAATATTTTTTAATGTTTGTTATGTATTCTACCATTTGAAGCTAATTTCCGTACCATATTTGTATGGGCTGCTGGGGGCGTATCCTGTGTTTTTAAATCCCAATGTTGGCAGCTATAGTTTAATCACTTTTCTGACACACAAAACCTACTCTAACGCGCAGTAAGCAGATCTAATTTCTAAATATGTAAATATAAATCATATAGTTAAAATACAAGTTAATATTTAGATTTCAAAGATATACAAATAAGTCATATATGTACATGTACCATATATTCCAAAATTGATCAAAAATAGTTTATATATAAATAGGATGATATTTATGAGGTCCAAGGAACATTTCCAAGATTTGATGAATAGGCTACTATATGTTAATACTTTACATTGAAGCACAGCAGTTTTCTGTTTACTTTAGGAACAGTGCCATTTTTAATTAACTTTCAAAAGCACACGTTGATGTTTTATTTGTTTTTAATGTTTTAGTTAATGTTCAAACTATTAATATTGTTATAAGTGGCTGACAATAATAAATATTCATAACAATAGGAATTAATCTGCTACGTT